CTTTGGTTGGTTGATGATGCATGGAGGGGATTGTAACCATGGCAATGAAATGATATACGATAGGATGAATGTAAAACTAATGTTCTCCCATGTAAACGATCACATAATTCACAATAAAACATTAAAAAAGAAAAAAAAAAAAAGCACTGAGTAATATCCTAGGTAGTAGAAACATTCTCTAGGAGTTTATGTGAATATAATGCCTGAATATTTGGAAAATGAATTATACTATGGTTTTGAGTACAGGACACACTTAGTATTGTTTTTTAGCCTTTATAAAAATAGAGAAGATAAAACTCAGGTTCTATCTGTTATTGTTGCTAAGTGTCATTGAGTTGGTTCCAACTCATAGCAACCCTGTATAGGGTTTTCAAGGAGCAGCTGTTGAGTTTGAATCACTGACCTTGTGACTCAATCTGACCTTTTGATTGAGTGCTTTATCCCACAGCACCACACCAGAACTTCTATTACATGATATTTGTAAGAAATTAGTATAGTTAGGAGAAAGTCTTATGGTGGTATCAAGGCTGAGAGGGAATATTGGGTGGGCTGCATGAAGGTACTTGAGGAAGGTCACCAAAGTAGCCAGAGAGGAGAGTAAACATTGGGCTTATTTTTTGAGGTTTTTTTGAAACCTTTAATAGGGAAGAGAGTAAACATTGGGCTTACTTTTGAGTTTTTTTTGAAACCTTTATCAAGAAATGGCTCCTCGTTTTAGAAAAGAGGAGCCGAGAAGAAATTCCCTGCAGCCGATGGTGTCTTCATCCTTTTATATATATTCATTTAAGAACCGTGTTAGGTAGCAACTATGAGTCAGATGGAATTTGCGGTTTCTGCTCACCATCTGATAGGTGGTTGTTGTTAAGTACCATCAATTCAGAGCTCCTGGTGGGTTTGAACCACCAAGCTTATGCTTAGCAGACCAGTGTTTATCCTACAGCACCACACCAATGTAGACAGGTAGTCCAGTCCTTCTAAATGACACAGGATCTTGCTTTTATGTGTGGGTTCAGGAAAGGAGTATATGTACACATACACATGTGTATCTGAACTTGTGTTGTGAATTTTGAGAAAGAGGAGCATTGATCCTATTCAGAAATGTCTACAGTCATACCTACTTAGTAGGGATTGTTGTCATGCTTTAGTGTGAGGCACTGTATATTGGTGTGAAGAATCTGATCTTTTACTGCTACATATTAGAATAGGGTGGTAAAAAGATTGTCTTTAGCTATTCTAATTCCAGTTTACTTTAAAATAGAGCTGTAGTAAACATCAGTGTGCATACATTTGTTTGTGTACTGGCTCTTATTTCTTGTTGATATAGACCAAGTAGAGGAATTTCTGGGTCATATATTTCTGTTTCTAACTTTGTGAGGAAGCGCCATACAGTTTTCCATAGTGGTTGAACTTACTTTATAGTCCCATCAGCAATATAGGAGGGTCCCAGTCACTCCACATGCACACTAGCATTTGTTGTCATCCTTTTTTTTTTCTTAAATGTTTTATTGTGAATTATGTGATAGTTTACATGGGAGAACATTAGTTTTACATTCATTCTATCGTATATCCTCTCATTGCCATGGTTACAATCCCCTCCATGCATCATCAACCAGGTCAAGTGGGTGTTATCTGCAAGTATGGGTATTCTTGTGCATATGTCCTCTCTTCTTATCAGCTGGATGCTTCACTCTCCACTCTAGTCCTCTGTGGCTATGTCACTGACTCTGGGCCCAAGAGTCCCCAGGTCTTGCCACACTGTTGCCCAACTAGGTCTTGACATGGGTTCACAGAAGTCTAATGAACATTGTGGGTCTTAGCTTGCCGCTTCATTGCTGTTTTTCTCTCTCTTCCCCATATAGGTGACGAGCGTGGTCACCAATCAGAGCATGTGTTCCCATTGAGTCTTAGTCTTAGAAGAGGGTTTGCACTGAGGGGACCCAGCCACTTGCCTTGATGTCTCCTGGGCAAGCATCTTGTTTGTTCTTGTAGTAACAGTTGGTCTGCCTCTATTGTTTTGTATTTTTCCTGTCGGTCTTTCTTTCAAGAAGTATCTTCTGTTCTTCTAGCTACTCCAGGCTGGTCTGTGCGTCCTTTCAAGTGGAAATTTCCCATCTCTGGAGATCTGGATGTGGTTCAGGCTTCTACCTATAGTCTTATGTATTGCAGAGGCTCCGCAGGAAGCCTCCTTCACTGGGCACGTTGTAGCCCCATTTTAGGTATTCCAGTCAGTTATAGGCAGAAGACAGACTTACAAGCTTTCTATGGTGATGTTTTTGGCTATTCCTTTCTCTCCCCTCCAGTGTCTATTATATAATGTAACCAAGAAAACCAAGATTCAAAAGACAGCCAAGCTTCTTAATTTTATTCTCCCCTTTTCTCCATTCCAACCATGTCTCAATCCTTGTATCCCAGAGCCCTGTTGTTCCAGGGTTGTGCATGCATCATTATTTACCACTGTCCTACTTAGCCCATTCAAATCTGCCTAATTGTTCTCCCATTTGCTTTGTTCTTCCAGTCCCCTCTCCCTTCTTGTATATTGCCCCCCTCCACTTCCTGACCTCAAAATACCTAATAGGGGTATTTTGTGTCTAATCCCTGCACTGTGATCCATCTTCCCCTCCCTCCCCATACCCACCCTCAACATCCCAGCAATCAACAAAGAATTCCCCCACCTCCTTTAGTATGGGTTCTTTTTCTTAGTCTTTTACAGTAGTGGTCCTATGCAGTATTTCTCCTTTCTCACAATCATTAAATTGATTATAATCCCCACCATGTACCATCATTTAACAGCATTTCTCTCTGCCCACTTTAGCTTTTTAAAAAACACACAAACAAAAAAAATCCACTCAGGCATATAGTCGGCTCCTGGCCACCAGCTGTCAGTCCTTCTCTTCTTAGTCCATGAATCTAGAGTCCTCAGCCGCTCCCCCTCTCCATGCCCCCATCTTTGCCTCCTTCACTGGTGCTGCTGCTTCTCTGGATAAGGTCTTGCATTCTTCTTGTGCATTCCTCTCTTGATGGTCTTAGGGTCCTCTGATTCTGGACTGTAAGATCAACCAGCCTAATACTTAGATGGGTATGTATTTTGGTATTTTTTATGCTTTGTGATTGCCTCTAGGTAGATGTGATCAGGAAATGGGCTGCACTTTTCATTCTTTTTCTTGAGAAGTTTCAAGATGGCACTGTTGGTCATTTTGACGTAACTTGGGATTTAATTTTCAGCCTGTTTCCTTTTTTGTCTGGTAGCGTAGTGGTTACGAATAGGGCTGTGAACCTCAAGGTCAGCAGTTCGAAACTACCAGCTCCTCAGCGGAAGAATGATGAGGCTTTCTGCTCCCATAAAGATTTGCAGCCGCGGAAACCCTGTTCAGGGTCGCTATGGGTCGGAACCGCCTCAACAGCACTTAATAACAACAACAAATCTTCTTAGGAGCAGTAAGCCGCGTCTTTCTTCTGCAGAATGGCTTGCAGGCTTAAACCACGGATCTTGTGCTTATTGTATGGAGCTACCTTTCTGTTCCCATAAAGATTTGCAGCCTCAGAAATCCTGCGTAGGGTCACTAGGAGTTGGAACCGACTCCATGGTACATAACAACAAAAACAACCTTATATCTGGAGCCCTGGTACAGCGCTGTGGGTTAATGCACCAGACTGAAAAGCCATTTGAACTGCACGGTTGCCCATTCAAGCTCACCAGTTGCTCCTTGGAAACCCTATACAGGGTCTTTGACAGCACTTAACAACCTTATATATGCTTTTAATTATTTTAAGGAATTTCCCTTTTATTGCTATTTTGTTGAGTGTTTTTATCAGGAAGCTACAATTTTAAAAAGAAATAGAAAAAAAAAAACAGAGTAAATGGAAGCAAATACTGTTCAACGATGATGCATGGAGGAGGTTGTAATCATTGCAATGAAATGATGGTGTAAAGCCGATGTTCTCCCATGTAAATTATCACAGAGTTCACAATAAAAAAGGAAAAAAAAATACACACATACAAAGAAAGAAAAAAAAATACACAAATACAAAAAAGAAAAAAGAAGTAGAATAAATAATATTAGTGCTTCACACACTGTAAGGGTAGTAAATTTTTTTAATTTGCTTTGTGAGATCTTTGTTTCAGCTACGTATATGTATGTTTTTCTTGGTTGCAATGGAAAATGTATTTATAACTATAGTTTTCTGTGAAAAATTATTAGGAAACCAGTGTTTTTGTGTAAACAGAAAAAGTCAGTGACAAAGTAGAGATTTTTAAATTAAATGATAGGAAAATATTAAAGTATTTTTAAATGGAATGGTGAGAAGTACTTTTATTGTTTTAAAGAGAATACTTAAAAGGTAATTGTTCTGACAAATGAAAATGGAGAAGATTTAAATTTTGAAACTTGAGATATTATTAGTGTTTCAAACAATATCTCTTTGAAATTTCTACTTACATATGGGGTAAAATAATTGATATCGTGTTTTGTTAAATTTAGTTTTTTATATTCTAGGAGATTCAGGTGTCTGGGGATTGAAAAAAAATTTTGCTTTATTGGAGCTTTTAGAACGACTGCAGAATGGACATATTGGTCAGTATGGAACTACAGAAGAAGCAATTGGAATATCGGGAGAGGTATTGGTTGAATTTGGTGAAATATTTATGATTTTTTTTTAAAAAAGTATTTCCTATGAACAAAGCAATTTAACTACCCTTAGTAAAGTGGATATATTTCTAGAAACATAACTTTTCATAGCATTACTGTTATATTGGAGTCCTGGTGTGGCGCTGTGGGTTAATGAGCTAGACTGCAAAGCCATTTGAACTGCAAGGTTGGCAGTTCAAGCTCACCAGCTGCTTTTCGGAAACCCTAAACTGGGTCGCTATGGGTCCAGAATTGACTTGAGGGCACTTGACAACAAAACTGTTACATTACACTACATTTCTGAAGTCTGCCATATTCTCAAGAGAACAAGGGTAAAGCCAAACATCAATTCTGTGAAAATGCTATCTCAAATTATATTTTGTGTGTCACATTGTCTCCTTGTACCAATTCTGTCAAAGGATCAAATGAAAGAATAAAAAGTAATGAAAAAGTAGAAGAATGTCGACGCTATGTTGTTGTTCTGTGCTATTGAGTTTATTACTATTCATAGTGACCCTATTTAGGGTTTCTGAGGTTGTAAATCTTTATGAGAGCAGAAGGCTTCACATCTTTCTTCCATGGAGCAACTGGTGAATTTAAACCATTGATCATGTGGTTAACAGATTAATATCCCAACATATAACCTACTATGCCACTAGGACTCCTGAAGCTACAGTGTTGTTGTTGTTAAGTGCCATCTAGTCAGTTCCAATTCATAGTGATCCTATATAAGATTTCTGAGGTGTGGCTGGTGGGTTTGAATCACCAACTTTGTGGTTAAAAGTCCAGTGCTTATCCTACCAGGAATCTACAGTAGAAGAGAAAATCAGTCAACAGCAAAGCACTAGGAAAGAAAGAAGTAGCTTGAATAGTAGAACTCTCTATGGAGAATTCTATGAAAGAGACCATTTGGGGAAAAAGCAAAAACATTTTAAAGGTAACAGTAGATGCTGAGGGAATTACTGCTATTAAATATCTTCAAGGAAAAGGCAGGTGGAAACGCAGATGTCTGGGAAATATTAGAAAGAAATCTATTATCCTGGGTTTAGATACATTTCTTTCACTTAATAAATTGCCAGCATAGCACATGGCTTTCTTAGTTTGGATTTAAAAAAAATAATTGTAGCAAATAATAGTTAAAACCACATGTTTAATACCAAGGAAAGAAAAAAGTCAGATTGAGTTCCACTTCCCCTTTATTATATGATGATTTCTTTATTTAAAAAGTAAATCACTACAAAAATCAGTTGAATTCCTCAATACAAAAAACGACAGTGCTGAAAAGGACATTAGGAAAGCAATACTATTTACAATAGCCACCCAAAAGATGAAATATCTAGGGATAAATGTAACAAGTGAAACAAAGAACCTTTACAAAGGACCTATACAAACAAAACTACAAAACATTGCTACAAGAAACCAAAAGAGACCTACAAAAATGGAAGAATGTACCATGCTCCTGGATAGGAAGACTTAACATTGTGAAAATATCTATACTGCCCAAAGCAATTTACACACAGTAATGTAATCCCAATCCAGATTCCAATGACATTCTTCAAAGAGATGGCAAAAACAATTACAAACTTTATATGGAAAAGAAAGAGACCCAGGGTAAGCAAAGCACTGCTTAAGAAGAAGATTAGGGTTGGAAACCTCTCACTCCACAGCTTCAAAATTTATTACATGGCTACAGTGGTCAAAACAGCTTGGTACTGGTACAGTGAAAGATACATTGATTCATGGAACAGAATCAAGAATCCAGAAATTAACGCATCTACATACAGCCAATTGATCTTTGACAAACACCAAAATATGTCCCATGGGGAAGGGATAGTCTCTTCAACAGATGGTGCTGGCAGAACTGGAAAAAGATATGCAAAAGTCTGAAACAAGACCTTCACATCACGCCTTATACAAAAACCAATTCAACATGGATTAAGGACCTAAATGTGAATCCCAGAATTATGAAGGTCATCAATG